AATGACGGTGCAGAGACACCAAGATGTGAAGACCCAGAACCAGAGCAGACAGGGCTTTTATGAGAGGGGGGCTTAAGAGATGGAGCTTCTCAAAGAGAGGGTGAATACAAATGTTCCAGCACAGACAGGATGAGGAAGATAAAGTGTTTTTGACCATTAAATGATGTAAAAATGTTCTAGCAGAAACCTCAAATGTAACTATGAAGCTAAAAATGAACATAATAGGTCCTTTTTAAAAGGAGAGCAGTAGTGCAGTCTGCATTTTCTTAGTTTAGAGCTACTCAGCTAATTATATTCGGAGCCTATTTTAGGCTGTGTGCTGTGTAACTGATTATGGAACGAAACATAAACATGAGATTAGATTCTGTAGTAACTATGTAATATCGGCATAGAAGTCTTCACCAGTTACACCCTAATCTCTTCAGTGGTACCTGAGTCTAGACAGCTCAGAGGCGCAAAACAAAAGACAGGAAAAAGCAAAGTCAGGTGAGTTTTTAATTCCTTGTCACAACCCTTCAGGAGTCCAAAGTAAAGTGACAGCTGCTGAAAAGCAATCATCATGGCGCCTGTGATTAACTGGCTCCCCTAAAACAAATTTTCACATTTTTCTTGTCAGCCTCACCCAGCCCACGTCTGCATGCACATGTTCGGTTGCTCACCCATATCTGCAGCTTTATCCTCTTGTCGTTCCTGTAGATTGTCTTCACCTTGAAGTCGATGCCCACTGTGCTGACAAAGGCTGGCGTGAATGAGTCGTCTGCGTAGCGGAAAAGGAAGGACGTCTTTCCTACGCTGCTGTTGCCAATGATGAGGATTTTAAACATGTAATCAAAGTTCTGGTCCGTGGACTCTTTCTGTCCGTATGTGGCATTTGCAGACGCCATCTATGCAAGGATTGAGATCACATATTAATCAGTCACAAGAAAAAGCTTGAGAAACAGCATGTAATAACAGAATCACCTTTGAACACCACAAACGACAGTCACAAAAATAATGAGTGTTGGATCAAAGCCTCTCGGACAGTGTCTCCAAAACTGAACATTATATGAATCTACAAAGGCAGAGCTGTTATATTTGATTCCATCAGATTTTTCAGACCTGTACTCATGACATGGTCTCCACTCCCTGTAGTTACAGTGTCATACACAATTTCACTGCCACTGGCTGAAACATTTCATATTTGGTGCAGATAAAAGATAAAAAAGAATGAGGAAAAAAGTGCCTATTTGCCACTTTATATAATGTTCCTGTTCGTGTTTGGGACACGTGGCAGATCCCCACACCTTTGTTGATTGGTTTGCATATCGTGTTATCCTACTTAATTTGTTTCAGTCGGTCTATATAGTATGCACATTTAAGAAACATGTAAGCCCTTCAGAGGGGAAACTACGAACATTGAGATGACATTGAGATAAACCCCTGATAGCACCAGAGACATCCTGTGAAGCTATTTTTATATTTTAACAGCAGATACAGGTATCATTTGCCTGAGATATGCAGTAATGTCAACATGTCTGAACCACAGAGACCTTAAACGTGTAGACAAAATGTTATTCAAAAAGCATAATGCAACAATTCTAGCATTATGTCAACAATTAAAAGGTGTAGAAGAAGTTTGAAAAAGAAAGACAAAACAGATATCGAATTTACAAAGTTGCCAGACTATTCCTGGTTGGTTTGCTCTTCTATTATGCTATTTTAATATCTTTTTGTCGAGACGTGTTAAAGATCTCTGAGATTCAGACATGCTGACATTACTGTATATCTCAGGCAAAGAATACCTGTATCAGCTGTGTCAATCTGAAAGTAGCTTCAGAGGATGTCAATGGGTGGTGTCAGGGGTTTACCTTGCCTATCTATCAAATCTCATCTTATGTGGCATCTATGAAACACACCACAACCGACAGACCACATCTGTATTAATGCACAGAACAATTAGATCATTCTCAGTCTTCAGACAGACCACAGGAAAACCACCTGAAACCATATGGCAGGGTGAAACAGCCGCAGATATAAACCATTTAACCCATGACGGGGTTAAATAATGTCAGCATGAGGCCAGACAGCACTCCCAAACAGTCACCTGATTTTATCTGGGAATAAAATGATGCAGCCGTTTTGCTGAGAGGCTGTGTCAATACAGCTAGCCAATACCAACACACAGCCTTAAGTGTTTCCACTTAATGTCAATACTAGCCGGACAAGGAATGCACACCTCCGCCCCAAGCAAAGATAAGAGGACGGAAGTGCCAGAGCTTAGCAGGCTAAGCATCAGCTAAACTGACTATCCCATCCCATCCAGGAGAGCAGCTGAGCGCTACGCTAGCCAGCTAATTATGAATGAACATATGGTTGGGCAGAATTTGCCTTGTAGTAAATTAGATACACACAGAAAAACTGGCAGCGCCTGTAGTGCTCTCTGACTGTCTCTGACCACAACATGCTCCTTATTAAAACGGCCTGAACCGACCACCTCCTTATCCAGAGCGGGGCTTATCTGCCGTTAGCTTGCTACTGAATATGTAGCTAGCTGAAATTGACAGTCTGCTTCACGTTAGCTTGAGAAAACCCCCGAAAATACGGCACGAGGCGTTTTGTCATTCATTACTTACCACCTTAAATAAAGATGAAACGACTGTTAAAGAGATTAAAGCATTGCAGATACAAACGCAGCTTTTATCGTTGGAAAAACGCGTCCAATTAAGCTAGCATCGCTACCTTTAATGCTAACACAGCAGACCGTTACCAGTATTTAAAAGTGGCAGCAGGAGCTAGCTAAACATCCCAGCTATGTCAAATGAAGGTTACTCTTCCTTATTTATGACTCATTTTTCAGTCTAAATCCAGGATGTGACAAGCGACAAACAATCCGCGTGTTATCCGCTATAACTGTTGGACCTAACGCAGCCCAGCGGTGAGAAATAAGCGCAGGGTTTTACCGTGAAATGTGTGTTTTATCCTCCGCTTCGCAGCAGCAGCGCCTAGCCCCAGTGCCCAGCTTTGCACCTGCAGTAGCTCGTGCGCCTCTTGATTGACAGCCCCGGCATAAGCGGGTACAAACAGTGTAAGGATGATTGACAGGACGATCGACCAATCAGAAAAAAGGATCCGTCCCTTCATTCGGACAGAGCCCCGCCCCCACTGAGTCAGAGTTTATGTAGAGGTTTAACTCAGTTGTATTGCTAAAAAAAGAAAAAAGATAAAATAAGTTAATGTAGTTTTCGTTGAGTAAATGTTATAAAACCACAGAAAAAATGTTTTTAAAAATATTATTGAGTTATAAGCAGCAAAACATAATATCAAAAGTCAATTTAACCTTTCAATTTTAACTTTTTTATTGTGCTATTATTTTTACAAATCCTAAAAAAGAACCGTGTCTGTATTAGATTTGTAAATGCACTAATTATCTTCATATTGCATTTGTATCTTGCCAATAATTTCTTTATTTGTCTATTTTTACTTTGCACAAACTGACTCCTCTCAGAATATCAAAAGTAAAGTAAAGATACTCATATTGAAGAAAGCTATATCACTGACATTTTAATTATTGATTAATCAAAAATCATGGGTGGATTAGAAGACAATCAGCCCCTGTAAAAGGCCCCACCACTTCTCCCGCACAGGAGCAAGATGCAAAGACTTTGTGTTGGTTTTGCCTCTTTTCCTTGTTGTTGTTTTGTGTATCTGTCAGCATCGTTTTGTATGTCTTTGTGGTATTTCCCTGTGTCCTTGTAGTTGTTTTGGGGGGTTTTGTGGTGATAGATTTGTGACATTTCTTGTCTTTCAGGGGTATATTTGTGTCTTTTTTGGTCCTTTTGTGTCTCATTGTAGTTGTTCTATGTCTCTTTGTAGTGTCTTTGCATCACTTTGAGGTCACTTTGTGTTTCTTTGATGTATATTTGTGTCTTTTTGGGGATAATTTTTGTCTCGTTATGGCCATTTTGTATGTCTATGAGGTATATTTGTGTCTTTCGGTTTTATTGTAGTTGTTCTGTGTCTCTCTGTAGTTTCTTTGCATATCTTGGATGTCGTTTTGTGTCTCATTAAAGGTCAATATGTGTTTTTTGGGGGTATATTTGTGTCTTTTTTGTTGTTTTGTGTCTCTTTGCAGTTCCTTTGCATCACTTTGTGTTTTTTTGTGTGTCTTTGTGGTAGGTACATGTTAATTTGAATGAAATTTTGGAGGTGGAGGCTTGTTTTATGGATGTTTTTTAATCTTTGGGTTGTTAAATCTCTAAACAGTGCATTAAAGTTCATGAACTCATTATGTGTTTTGTACGTACCCAAAACTGTCAAATACATTTAGTGGAGTAAAGTAGATTTACCTCAGAACTTTAGTGAAGTGGAAGTATAAAGTAGGACAAAATGGAAATAGTGCTTTGGTGTATGCATGTATATATTCAATACACATTTTAAACACCTTGTTTTACCTCACTAATATCTTATCACTATATTATTATTGGTCCATTCTGTGATGTTGTTTTAATCATTTCCTCAAGCACTTTGTAACATCTGTTTGAAAACTGCTATAGAAATGAAATCATATTTACTATTATCATAAAAACTATAGTGCCTCAAATGTATACTTAAGTACAGTACTAAAGTAAATGTTCTTAGTTACTTTTCTGCTGATGAACATGCAGTATTATCTTCTGATTTCCTCTGAAGTAGCATTAAGATTATTAAAAGCTTTATCATCTTATTCCACACGGTCTGACATCATCATATATTTATATTGTGTACAGTATTGTTAATCTTTATTAAAGCTATAAGATATTAGCACTAGTGAAACACTCAAATAAAAGGTCTCAGTTTTCTTTTATGGCGTAGCTTTTGCATATTTTATACACCTGGCTCCAAAATTCAGCCTGGATATTTCTTCTTTAGAAACCAGCATTTAAAAATGAAGTTTGATGACAGGTTGTATAGTATGACTTTGTAATGTCTGACCCCCTGTGAGGGATTAATAAAGTCTCATATTAAAAACACAGAACAAGACATCAAAGAGTGAAGAGTTTTTCCTTTATTGGCAAGGCATACAGTTCTAGCTGGAGAGAGGGCTAACACACCCGCAGTTAAACAGCAGAGTTTGGATTGTCAAAGCTGCAGAGTCTTAGTTCATGACCCATATTCATGAAATCTCTAAAAACAGAAATACTGGTCTAGGATGACTTGAGGCAGTGTGACTATATTATCTTCACTATGAATCAAAGAAGTCTCAGATCAGCACGCATACTGTGAGATCCTTCATGAATACATGATCTAACCAGATCAGTGGAAACAGAGGAAGATGGGAGATGAGAGATGTTTCTGACGGAAATCTGTCGCTAAACTATTTTTATACAGAGAAAACATGAAAGTGAGTATTTTTGCTTATGTATAATGTTATTTGCAGACATAAAGAAATGAAACGAGAAGGGAAACAAAGCTGAGTAATAGCTGAAATCTGTCCTGTGCAACTTTGTCACACGTCGAGCTACACATAAGTACTAGACCTCAGACTAAAAAAAGTCTACTGTTCCATCGTTTCTGACAGATAATATAGAAATAATAAATAAACTGTACATGAAGCATTGTGAGGAAAATGTACAAAATCAAATAATTAGTGACACGCAGAGAGACAGACCGAATCTTCGCATGTTGTGCTGGTTAGGCTGCTGTTAAATAGTCCTTAGTGTCGAAGGCATCCTTGAGTGTTGGTCTGGTTGGTGCGGTTTATGGCTACGGAAAGGATTGCACATGTTTTACTCCAGCATGTCAGCGGACACATCTATGACCAGAAAATACAGTTTGAAAATAAGGCGTCAAAAAAAAAAAAAAAAAATTCGTTCACACATTAAAACATGTTTCATGGTAATAAAACAAAACAAGTTTCTCCACAGGCTAAATTTCTTAAGTTCTCTATATAATCTTCTTCAAATCCTGCAGCCAATGTCATGCATTTCAACAAAACACATCTTGTTTGTACAGTCAATTATAAAAAGAACAAAAAAATAACAACTTCAGTCCCTCCAACATCCGACCTTTAAGAGCTGTAGTGGTGCAGCCCGTGCAATTCAACTCAACCACCAGGCCGTTTGCCAACAGAAAAACAGTGAAACAGTCACGTTATACATATTCAACTGTACTGGAAGTGCAGAACTGTAAAAGTACCGTACAAAGTGCTTTGGTTTCTTCTTAGCAAATACATCAAAACCCACTCATTCACTCACGCACAACAACGCACAACACATCACCTTTTTTGTTTAAGACAATATCAGTTTCAGTTACTGTTTGAACAGGAGTTAGATAAAAAAGGAGCAGAGACACTAGGGTCAGATTGGCACACGGGGTGCTACAATCAACCAACTTTATCAGTCACTGATGGAAAGTAGCCAGTGGCAAAATGGAAATTACAGTACGGGTTGTGTCATGCTTGCTTGGCACTTGTTTTGTCATTGACTATGTCCCTGTGAAGAGCGAAGTATTGATCAGTGAGAGAAAAAAGGATGAAAAAAATTCTGGCACAGGAAACTGTCTCCTGGATTGTTTTTTTTTTTTACAGTTACAATGATGCTAACATCCTTCTTCACAACCCTATGCCTCTAACACACTGCCCTTATCAGTCTAGTTATTTATGCAAACGGATGCTACCAAAGAGTACGTATGTATTAATGGATTTGAATGGATAGTTTAATGCATTCATAGCTGTACTGTAGTGTTTAGTTTTGCATGATGCCTGTGCTGGTTGCTTGACAGCCACTGACAAACTGTTCTGCAGTCATTGTGTTCATGTTGTGGCTCGAGCCCTTAAAAACCATGATGAGGGCCAGCCATGAACCAACCTGTAAAGTGCTAAACTTGAAGGCAAACTGATAACAATTGGTGCCAAATATAAAGAACGCAAAAAATAGTGACTTTAAATTTAGAAAAAAAAAAATCAAAAGAGCAACAAAACTGAAACATAACTGATATTTCGGGCACTCCTAGAGTTAATTTGAATGTATTTTCCATAAAGGCCTATGCAAAAACCTTGCAAATTATCTGCCTCCGATGCCAGAGCTTCAGTTCCTCTTGTCACCACTGGGAGGCACCATGTGCACAGCCCACATTGCTTTGGATGCAACTCCTCGACTGTATAACACTACACTGACCTTGGCTCAGTTTTGTCGCTGACAATATCATAGTTTAGGATTATAAAAATGGAAAGCCTGCAACAACAGAGCATCTGAAAATAATATGTACTGCCAGCCACTTCATTATAATCATATTCCTTACAAGATTACTGCTTGCTGAGCACAATTAAATGGGCTGTGCAACACCAGCTGCAAGGAGTGCTACAATAACAACGATAGAGTCACTCAAAAAGTCTGCTACATTTAAACTTTCCTGCATAAAATCATGCATAGCTCCTTTCTGCCTTTAATTAGCTTACACTGCTCTGAAGTCTGCTTTTAACTGTGTCTTCATTTTCACTGCATATGGACCTAAATAAAAGACAACAAAATAAACAAACAAAACTAAAAAGGCAGGCAAAACAGCATTGTCCCTGTAAATCACAAGTTTGGCAAGATGTCTCACAAGACGTTGTCCTGCTTTCACGCTCATTCATCACTTCCTCGCTTTCTTCACAAAAGAGGAAGACAGTTCTGTCATTTGTTGTAGTAGACCTTGGGTTGGCTGGTAAAGGGGAAGTTTGTTTTTAAACTTCTCATTGTCTCTGCAGAACTTCATCCACAGTATTTCTGACAGAAAGACACAGAACACAAAGGACTGGTCAGAAACTTGGTTTCCTGTCCTCTATTAGAAGTGACTCAGTCTATCTGTCTCTCTCCAGTGCAAGTGACTGCTGTGTAAAACTGCAGACTTTCTTAACACCCCCCCCCCCACACCCACTCGCACTCCCACAGTCCCCAACCCAGAGGCATGCTGTCACCCTGTCCGCAGAAACCAGAGGTGGTGTTTGGTTGGAGTGGGAGAAAGGGAGTGACAGAGGATGAGGCACCGAAATCAAGAATAATAAACAAAAAAAGGCCAAAAGAAACTAAACTTTTGACTGGTGCTATATTCCAAGTCTGAAGCGTGGCACCCCAGAGACGTCTTCCTGCTCTGTCTCTCTGTCTTCTGCCATATCTTTATCAGGGTCTAAAGAAAACGTCCTGCCCGATTCAGTAGTGAGCCTTTTGGTGAGCATGTGAGTCGTAGCAGCAGAATCAGTTCTGGAGAATTCAGATCCCCTACTGCCACCGTAGCCCTCCTCTTCCTCAGGTGGACTCTCCGTATCCGACTCTCCTTCTTCCTCCAAAGTCAGCTCAAACTGGAACTTGTCGGCTGAGATGGAGCCGCTGCCCCCGCCGAGTGCTGTGGATTCCCCGGCATGGGGTCCCTCCTCCTGACCCTCTGGGTGTGGTGAGGGGCTGTGGGGGATCATGCTCTGGTACCACTCTCTGTTATCCTCCAGTGTGTCCAGGATCTCCTGAGCATCTGGGTGGACAAGGTCGGCCCACGTCTCCCACAGAGGATGAACAATGTAGTCAATGAAACCCACCTAAAGAAGAGAGGCATACAGTGTTAAGAAAGAGATTTCTCTTTGTCTTTGAGTCCTTCTTTTTCTCTACATTTCAGTTTCACACTTGATGTACAGTTGAGTTTATTAACTAAGTACTGCTGCTTTCAATCTGTACCTGGTTCTTCTCTATTGAGGCGTTATGTTTGTCACACATAGGGCTGATCTCCATGCCCTTGTCTCTCTCCCTGTCCCCCTGGGTGAAAAACTCCACCATAATGCGGTCTGTCCACTGCCGGTACAGCTCCAGAGGCTTGGTGGGGTTGCTCAGATCTGCGCAGTGTACCATGTTCTGAAGAACCTGCAGTGACCAAAAAAGCTTGCATATTAATCTTCCACTTTTTTTTAGTTGTTTTGCTCCACCTTGAACTAGAATACCTCAGCAGTCCCCATACTAAGAGGTTGACTTGAAGCAGCATGAATTGATTTTTGGCCACTTTGGCACAGCATAAAAAGCTGTAAACACCTAATAAATTGGTGGTTGAAGTCATGTTTTTGGCCTTGTGACTGATGTAAGTCCAATTTTCACTCTTTTAGCTCTGTTCAGGTTTCAATCAACTCCAGAGGAAAAAATGCGGCTCTTTAGCTTCAGTGTTGACCAGCTAGTTGTAGTTTTTTCTGCCATTCGGTGCTAACTAGTTAGTGTCAAGCTAAAAACACCTGCCTCTTGGAAACATGGTTAATTAGAGAAGGCAGACTGAACCAAAACAGTAAAGCTGGAGGCTGTAAAACCAAAACAATGAACTGAAAGATGCTAAAATGCTCTGTATTAGAGTGCCTTGGTAGTCAAAGCGTGTATCTACTGCTAGCTCACCTAGCACCACTGAGCTAACATTACAGCTCAGCCAAGGAGGATGCCATTAATGTTTACATCTTGCGCTGTCATGAGCATGAGCCTCTCGTACAGGAGTAGATGCACACTTCCTTCTGAGTGGTGATACTGTTGGCAGGTGTAGTTTGGCAGAAAGAAAACACTTCCTAAGTGAAACTGCTCACAACAAGATCTGTGGATTATCTTGAGAAACCTGATCATGATTTCTAGAAAGAGACATTGCTGTTGAGTTTTTCCAAATGTATTTTTTTGGCGCCATCTAATTCCATTATACTGGAGAGAAGGCAACTGTCTCTAACACTCGGCAACTTATACTAAAAGAGTCTAGATTTATAAAAAGGACTACAGGTAAGAGGAAAAATATGTAATTTTGATTTGGGGGTGAAGTGTCCTTTGATTGCATCTCTAACAATGAATAAGTGGCAATGTGGTTCTCACCTGAATGCGGTCTGAGTAGTTGTCCAGCAGCAGGACTCCTAGACTGGTGACTTTCTTTGTCTCCACCATGGTTTTCAAGTCTGCCAGTAGGTTCATGTGTTTAGACATATCTGTAGCCAGCACCTGTAGATTAAACATTCAGACTTAAAAAACTGATTTGAAGAAAACACAGCCTTAAATTTCAGACATAAGGCTTCCACTGAGGTGTCTTACCATATCAATGACCATTTTGCGCAGCGACTGCCTCTGCTTTTTGCTGAGGTTCTGAAAGATGTCACAGTTATCCTCCTGCAGAAGCTTAAAGCCAACAGCAAGGTGGTGATTCTCCAGCACCGAAGAGTCATTGTACATCAGGGCCAACTCTGAGTCTGAGGGCAAAAAAAAGCATTAAAAAAAGTTCACAGACAGCACTGTAAACCTTCTGAATGGGAAACAAATTAATGCAGAAACACAAATCTACAAAGACATGTGTCCACACACAGTTAAATACACTGAGCACCCACACACATTCACATAATCCCTGTGAAGCTCTGCAAACTCACTGGTGTTGATGAGAAACTGATTGGAAACTCCAGGGTGATCCACATCATGGATGGCGCTTGCAAAGAGAGCGGCGAGGATCTCCAGGTCAGTAAACACAGCCTTGGGTGACACAAGAAGACAAGGGACTGTCAATACGTGTGTGTGGGTGTCCTCAACATGACAGGGCATGTACAGATCCAATAGTTTTGGTTTAATAGCAATAAAATTTGCTCTTAGTCTTGGATGTGTAAAGGTATCTACCTCTAGAGCAGGTGTGGACAGTAAGACATGTGTGGACTGGACGACGTCTGCAGCATGAATGTTGTTGTGGTAGGCCACGTCGGCATGGTAATGATCCTCCAAAGTCATCATGAAGGTAATGAAAGTGTCCGCTGGAATCTTAAAGGACTTCATCAGCTCACGTTCCTAAAGGAGACAACAAGAGGACATTGGATCAGTCGAGGTGAAGCTCAGTCATTTATTAATATTCCTTTGTTGGGTCATTGTTTCATTCATTCATTTACTTGGCTTAGTCATTCATGTACTGTACTAAATGTCTGAGGTTACACAAAGACCATACTGTGTTAGAGAAAGTACAATATGTAGGAATGTGCTACCTGGAAGATGGTGTACATGGTGACTGTCAGTGGGCGATTCCCAGAATACTCGGAGACCTTGAAAATGTCAATACCCCATCTGTTTATGTCCTCCAACTCCTGCCGGCAGACAATTGAGAGCAAATTAAAAACAATGCAGAATTATTTGAATAGAGATTTTTTTGTGTTGAATTAGTCCTCATACCTTTCCTAAGAGTCCTTCCTGGCTGGCGTTGACCCCAAAGCGAGGGATGGTGGAGGGGGCGAGGCTGGGGCTGTGCGTGGGCTTCTTCACACCGCTGATCTGGGACATGGGCCGCTTCTTCTTGTCCTTCTCCTTGTTGGGTGGGGACATGATGTCCATGTCATGTTGCTTCTCTGTCAGATGAAGACAGACAAAATATTAACACCACAGTCTCTTAGCGATCACATACGCAACACTACACTTTAAAGGGGAACACCACCTAAACTACAGAGGACCTATTATGCTAATTTTCAGTCTCATATCTGTATTTTGAACATGTTTACATGCTTTAATGTTCAAAAAACATTTTATTTTCCTCACGCTGTCTCTGCTAGAGCACCTGTATTCACCCTCTGTCTGAAACACTGTTTGAGCGCCTGTTTCTTTAAGCCCCTCCCCAAAAAAGCCCAGTCTGCTCTGATTGGTCAGTGCCTCTGGGTCCTCATATCTCAGCATTTCTGCATCGTCATTACAGCCAGAGAATAAAAAAAAAAATCACTAATGAAGCCTCTAAACACAACAGGACATGTACCAGGAATCGGATGGCAACCAAGATTACACGATTCCCTGATGTTAGCATGTAGCTACATGTACGTTAACAGTATACTTGCAGCCGTGGAATGACTGTAATGGAAAATAGCAGCACTTCCTGTCATGAAAAACCATCTATAAAAGCTTCTAAGTACAACCAGACATGTTCCAGCAGGAATATGATCTGAAATCTAGAAGAAATTAACAACACAAGCAATCAAGATTCCATGTTTCCCTGATGTTAGCACGTAGCTACATGTAACAGTGTAGGCTACGTAATGTAACACTTGCAGTGGCGTGCCTGGAGCAATTGACTATAAAAAGAAACCTGACATCATACTGGAGCTGGAGTAACAACAACAAAAAAAAAAACTGTTGGAGAAGGAGTGATGAGAACGGTTTCCTGAGGTTTTTGCTCACAGGGATTACATTTATATATGTTTACCTCATTATTAGAAACTTTGGCCACATTTAATTTGAATATCCTTCATTGTAACATTATAAACAAGTCTCAAAATACGGAAAAGCATAGTAGGTCCCCATAGCTTAAGATGGTTCAATAGATTCAACCAATTTTTGTGAACATGAGCTACTCTCTTTCAAAGCCAGAAATCAGAGATGTAAGTCTCAAACTTGTGATGTCATCAAGTATAAAGTCTGGAGCTGCTCAACAGACAATGAATGGGAGCCAAAGAATGTTTGTTTTCTCTTTCACACCCACATGAGCTTTATTTGTACCCATTTACTCATAATATTCCCCAGGGTGCACTTAGTGTCACCTATATCTTTCCCAATTCATTGTCTACAGAGCAGCTCCAGACTTTATACTTGATGATGTCACACATTGTAGCACTCGAGTCTTTGGATTTGGAAGAGAACTGTTCATGTTAACTTATATTTTTGGACTGTCTTAGACCATAGGAATAACAGTAGGTGCAGTTCCCCTTTAGCAATAACATGTTATTTATATGATGCATACATTTACGCACAGGTTGTGGATTATACAAAGAGAAAGTGTTTTACCGAGGAAGGTGTTAGCGATGAACTCAGACACCTGGTTCCCTGAACGGCTCGTTTCTGACAGCTGAGTGAGCTCTCGGTTCAGCATCCTCTTGAACTGAGGACAAACACACACAAGCATCCATGAGTTTGATCTCACACACACACACACACACACACACACACACACACACACACACACACACAAAGCAGTCTGACTAGGGCAGCTCAAACATCTTTTTTTCTGCAAACCAACAATATCACATGAGGAGGTAATGTCTTTTAAGAAATGTAAACTTCTGTATACAGTGTCATTGCTTGAGACAGACTGAGTTGAATGTGAGTACAGATGCCACAAAGCAAGTCTCAACTCTTGATTCATCTCTGCTTGCAATCACTTGGAGAAATTTGTGTTAACACTGACAATCCTTAACCATTCATAAATACACCCATGATGAGTACACCAGCAACACCTAGATTCTCTCTCTGAAGCATTCACATGCACTACATGTGCTTGTGTGTGCGTCTCACGTCACACAGTGCAGAAGCCAATGATTGGACGCAGAAACATGCATGGCTGATTTTACGAGCAGTAGTGTGCCCTGTTCCCGAACACACTCATGCATGAGGAACATGTATATGAAATACAAAAATCTACACATCTAATTGAAGTGTCCAGATCAGTCTTAGAGAAACTTTCACATCTCAACCACCGGTTGTTCACAAATCGAGCAACATGTGAGCAGCCTCAAGCCCTCCCACCTGCTCCATCCTCTCACCTCTCCTCTCTTACCTGAATGAACATCCACAACACAGAGATGGAATAGCTCACTTCTGGCATTTCAGCGCAAAGTCAAGCATGGGAGCAAAAATAAAACTGAGTGAGAGAGCAGAGCTTTCTGGTCGTCCTCCGGCACTGCCTGTTCGACAGACAGCAGGGACACTTTGTGCTCCTGTACTGCTTGCCTGAGCAAAATCCAAAGCGAGCAGACAGTCCGCTGGTTAGTGCTGTGGAGGCTTTGATCACTACGAGCTGAACAGGCGGATATAACAAAAAATATCACAGAGATCCATGGAAGAACAAGAGCGTGGAAGCATAGCTGTGGGAATGCTGTGGGATGCGAGGATGCAAGTCAGAGAAGCCACACTCCCTCGCTCCCCCTGACTCTCCCTCATTCACTCAGTTACTGCCTGCTCCCATATGTGTGTAAACAGAGGGAGAACGAGGTACTCTAATCCCCGCCTCCTTCCAAAAATGCCTAAGAATAGCAGCCTATCAGGCACCTGCTGCAGCAGAGGCTGGGAGAGGCAGAGGACCCTCATTGGTGGGGGGACGTACAAAGTGGGCAGGGACAAGTGTGCTGGAGGCGGAGGTAGTGAGACACACCATGTGCACCAAGTTTGAAGAAGATATGAAGGAAAAGCTTTGAATGGATGGAAGAAGGGATTTCATGATTTCATTCATGTTGCCAAAAATAAAAAACTGTACACTGCGTACCACAAGGATGTGAGTACATCGGCCATTTTCACGATTGAATGATTGTGGGCAGAAGATAACAAAGTATTTTGGGCACAGAAATGCCCTCAAAGCAGGCTGCCATAGCATGATGAGGATGTTTGAAATGTCAGGTAGTGTTGTTAATCTTTTTAAATTTGGTAACCCAAATTTTATCTGTGTATTGACCATGTTTTAAAACTGATGTAAAATATGATAAGATAATAACAGAAAGTCAGTTGCTTCGCCTTTAAATTAAGCACCAAATCAGGGTTGGTGACCGTTAACAGCTATGAAAAACACTCTGAATGGGCTTAAATGAACATTTCCTCACAGAACTATTCAAACATTCATGTTTCAATGGTCCGCAGACATCTCACTCTTCATCAGAGACACTGTCAAGAGTCATTAGAGATCTATTTTGAATGAAACTGCTCGATCAGCTTGTCCACTCTGGGATCAAATGTGCCTGTCTTTGCTCCAGAGTGCCAGCATGGATAATTCTTCCCCACTGACTGAAGCTGCTCATTGACTGATCTGCAGCTATGGGGGGGTTTGCCTCCCACGAAGCTCCAGCCTCCGCCACGTGAGCGAGTGGCGTGTGTAATGGTATATGTATCCAAGCAGGCAATGTATGTGATGGGGGGCAAGGCGGGAGATGTACATGTATATGATGGAAGGAAGTGTGTGTGTGTGTGTGTGTGTGCGCGTGTGTTGTGAGCATGTGCAGGTTGCGTGGGCGGGCTAATCGTGGAATCACACGAGCGCCGGGCTCCAGTCTGAGGAGAGGGATACATGGAGGAAGAGTGTATGAAGGGGGGGATGCCGTTTCATCTCCAGCTCCCACTACCTCATTCACATTTTTCTGCACATGAGTGGGGGGAAGGGAGTGTCTGTGTGAGACCATCCTGCTCATTCATGGAATAAGCCCCTCTTCAGTGTGCTGATGGATGGGAGATTCTCTTCATATTTTCATGATGGACTCTGTGTATTAGTGAGCTTTCAGACTTGTTTAAGGATCAGTGAAGGCGAACAGCACTTCAGTGCATCACACACAATCCACAGGCTTTGTGTTGTACATGGAGCTCACTCTAACTTGGGCTGCAGAAGATTACCAGCCATCAATGAAAAACTGGAGGAAATGATTAACGTGTCTTACGTATTGCGTTTATTATTCATTCTAATAAAGAATGCTGACGTATTTCATCTCAAAAAGGAAACACCAATTAACTTAAATTAATCTGACTGCTGATTTTTGGCCATAAAAGGAAGACCTCGCCCACAAAATGATTATTTGTATATCAATTACTCACCCCATTATTTTATATTTGTGAAGAAAACGTTTTTCAAACATGTCTCCACAGTGAACAGAGAATCCAAAAACTGAGAAAATTCTTTTTTTCTTTTTAAATTGTGCAATAAATTGATAACAGAACAAGAAATGACTGGTACAAGGATGTACAGTATAAACGGCCAAAAGAGACTGTATAACATAAGACCAAGAAAAATTCAAGTCTCATTTATCCAGTTGCTTGCTCAGTACTCCCCAAACATATGCATTTTGATAAATAAGAACAATTAATAACACTTACCCACACAAAAAACACACCTGGGCAACTGCATGCATTTGACCTCTGCTAGTGCATTTCATTGAATACAGTTCAAATGCACATTTGCTTCTCGTTCGTGCGTGAGACTGTCTATGCCTAAGAGTTTTAAATAGCAAGGTTTTACCAAAATGCATGTGTTTGGGCAGTACTGGGCATACGACTGGATAAATTAGAGTTGGATTACACTACGCCCCCCCTTTAACTTTAATTCATCAAGAATTTTCTTAGTTTTTTGATTCTCTATTCACTGTGGAAGCATGCGAGAAAAACAAAGTATTCTTCTTGAATTCAACGTAACACGGGGTAAGTAACTGATATACAAATTGTCATTTGGTGGTTGAAGTCTTCTTTAAAGGTCTCCTCTGAAATGGAGAACAACAGTTGTGGAAAGAACAACTTGATTATCTTTAGATATTCAAACAAAGACGAGCTAACATTTGGCTAAACTAACTATTTCAACGTGATGAACATAAAAATACTGGAGGTGTATTCTTTAAAATCCACTAGATTTGACTTTGATGAGTTCAGGGTCATGTACTGTACTGTGTTCATAGAGTCAGACTACCTTAAAAATGGCAACAAGATGGATGTGACTAATAAACTCCTTCAGGGGGATGAATCACAGCACAGATGAGAGTGAGTGCACGGCAACCTTGCTCTATTAAATGTTACCCTGAACAATGTGGCAGTGTGTATCTACCTTTTATCCTGTGACAGGTGTGTATGTTCAGTGTGTCACTTTGAGGCTGTTGGTTATGTGTAAGTGTATTATGTTTAAGTACCTTGTTGGAAGCCATCTCGCTGACAGAGTGTCGAGTTTTCAGCGTCTCTAGTTGTTCCAGACACCAGTCCAGCTCATCTAGAGTCTCTATGGCCAGCTGCTGGTGAGGCTCCTCTGTACCAGACAAACACAGCAAGGCATTATGGGAAGGATACTACTCTTGGAGAGCATTCACATACTGTTCAAATTTCAGAAAGAACTGTATAAATTTTCTGTTCTTATTTTTTGAGAACACAAAATGAATGTCTCACATATTTAATCAGTGGTGGAACACTTCTATTAGACCACATCGTCAGTTACTAGTTACTTTATATATTAAGATTTCACATCCAAAAGATAAAATGACCTTTTATGGTGGCAGAATCATAGATTGAACTAATAATACATACTTTATCTATAGGGATAGTTTGGATCTTTTGAAATTAGTTTGTATGAGGTACTTATCCATGGTCAGTGTGTTATCTACAGTCGATGGTGGTCGGCACGCCCCCAGTTTGGAGAAGCAGGCAGGAGTAGCTATGCAATGTACTGCTGTGTACAGGGGCTGCAGCAAAATGTATTTTGCCCACCTAAAAAAATCAATATCAGTCAAGTGTATGACATATCTGGAATATTTTCACTGCTTTACCTTGACGTCAGACTATATCCATTCATATATGCTGTCACGCCACCAAACTCCTTTGACAAAAAGTAATTTTACCTTGCAGAACACAAGAGTTGCTGGCCTACTGCTGTGTAGATCAGTTAATTAGTTTGTTTTGCTCTCTGACTTTGGTAAATCCGAACTAATCCTAACAAACAAACCAACTGAGGCAGAAGTAGATCAGCAACTCTTGTGATCTGTGATGTAAAATTACTGTCTTTGTGAAAGGAGTCTGGTGGTGTTGAAGATAGAATAGATAACAGCTTCAGTTCAGTTCCCTGTCAGAAAAGGCTGCCTGATGGCAAGGTAAAGCTGTGAAAATATTCTAAATATAGCGTACACTTAAACTGATGTTGTTTTTTAGGTGGGAAAAATGTTTTGCTGCTACCCCCGTCCACAGCAGTACATTGCGTAGCTTCTGTGTCAGTACTCCTGCCTGCTTCTTCATCATGGGGGTGTACCAACTGACATCTGTTGTAGGCAACACACTGATTAAAAAATGCCAAATTATCCTTTGCGTAACATTTTCAACACACAATTTTAACGTTTTTTCCAATGCAAGAACTTAAAGGAGTATTCTTACATTGTGGTATTGAGATTTTTTCTTCAGTAAATAATCTTAATACTCATCACCACAAGATTTCATGTATTTGTAAATAATATCTATTTACTGATTCATAACTTTGACGTGTTATCAGCGAACCAGATTTGACAGCTTACAAAATAAATTGTAATAATGTCTTTGTCATCTCTCTGTCTTTCTGACCAACCTGCGAGACTGGTCTTGCACATGGATGGTGGGTTGCTGCCTGAGGATCGCGTCCTGTAGACAGAGACCATCCCAAGTCAGCAAGTGAAGTCATACATCTTTTCTCAGGTGTGATGGTAAGATCTCTAAAAGGTTCATTATCATACATTTTTTAAAAACCTACTTGCTGGCTGTGCGATCTTGCTGGCCAGTTATCACGGCAAAGTTACTTCGGACTGTCCTCAGGCTGGCGAGGACCTATAAGATAAGAACGAGAGACTGAATGTACAAGATCATCATGTGACATATTTGTGATATAATGACACCACAGACATCACCTCATTCAAAGCCTTAAACACTTGCACATGCCTTCACTTAATTCATCTTGAAGCAGATTTAGATGCTGTTTAATGTGACTCTCTGACAAGCCTTTGAAACCAGATACAGTGGCTTTCATCCTCCAAGCCAAAGTGCTACGCAGAGGCATTCCCCTTTCTGATGTTTTGATAGCATCACTGACGCCCCTCTATGTCATGTCTGTCACTCCATCTGCAGCCAAACACTGACTCAGCACGCAGAGGAAGCCCACAGAGTATCCGGTGTCCGGGCCCGACCCATGTAGCAGCCCTTATCAGCCAGCATGCGACTTTAAACAGCATGATCCAGCAGTATTGGATTCACTGCTTCTTTCGCGGTGTAAAGTGAGCACAAGTGTGACGCACATCCCACGCAAGAGCCAAGCAACGCCGGCGGGATGCCTGATTCTGTCGCAGGGCCAACATAATGCTGAGGGGCTGTTCCAATGAGCCAGTGAAGCCCAGTCTCGTACCATCTGGACTGTATTATAGGTTTTGTAAAGACCTGCTGTCTTTTGCTTACAAGTGGACATGATTTCTTTTTATTGGGCCATCTGGCAAATTTACAAACAGCACAAAAAGGAAGAATCCAAAGTGTTGGATGAAGAGGTTTCAGAGGACTCACCTGTGCAAATGGTGTGACGATCATGTCTTCTGTATGTCTGCAATACAGAACAGGACACACAGGAGGAAAAGGCATGAAACACTGTTGAGAGGACCAATTAATAAGCTCCTAAATTCTATTGATTCATTTATGATAGATAAAAAGTTTTAGCGACTGTGTTAAAGGGACAGTTCACCCCATATCTGAAGCATATTTTTCCTCTTACCTGTAGTGCTATATATCAGTCAATATTGTTTCGGTGTGAGTTGCAGAGTGTTGAAGATGTCTGCATTCTCTTCAACATAATGGAACAAGATGGCACTCAGCTTGTGGTGCTCAAAGTGCCAAAACACGCTTCCGTCTGCATGATGACACAGTTGGCGGATGTAGTTTGGTACAAAGAAAATAGTTCCTACATGAAACTGCTCACAACAAGGTCTGTGGATTATCTTGAGTAACCGGGTCATGATTTCTAGAAAGAGACATTGCTGTTGAGTTTTTCAAATGTACTTTTTGGCGCTTTGAGCACCACAAGCTGAGTGCCATCTAGTTCCATCATATTGAAGAGAAGGCAGACATCTTTACAGTCGATATCTACGACACTAAATGGATAGACATCTAGTCATCACCCATTCACACACTGGTGGCCGAAGCTACCGCACAGGCTGCCAACTGCTACTCAGTAACCATTCACTCTCACCCACACACCAGTGGGGCCACAGCCACCCCGGACTATCTAGACTGATAAATAGCACTACAAGTAAGAGGAAAGAAATGTTCTTTTGATTTTGGGTGAACTGTCCCTTTAAGATGATATTAATAGAAACCAATCTGCACCTGGTATCACTTCTAGTTTATCCAAAAATGAGGCTGTCTGTGCAACCTGGCAGCCAGAGAATTAGTTAGCACATTTACTTACTCAGATATCCTCATTCATCTTCCCCTTTGTCATCATTCTGATAAAATGTAGCTACATCAAAAAACAAAGACGTCATGCACTGCGTATAATAAGGTTGGTGAGGAAACAGACTGGGATAGGTGGAAGGGTGGGTGATATAAGTACGAACTGGTAAATACTCACAAGTAAATAAAAAAACACAGACTTGGTTTTCTCTGATTAAGCGTCACATGCAAAAACAAACAAAAGAGAACTGGGTGTTTTAGGGGAGAGGGGGGTCTAACGGGGGGTCACAGGTGAAGTGTTTGATATTTAGTCACGTTTGTCAGGAGGGAGGTGGGAAAAGGCTATGAAGCCGTCTAGAGGGAATGCAGGAGAGGGCTTTGAAGGGGACAGAGTCAGTGTTTTTAATCTTGTTTTTGTTTTATCGTGTTTCTTCTCACCGAGATGACAACCAGTTGACTTCCCAGTGCTTCAAGCTTTCTTCCCTTCAAAAACAGACAGGCAAGAGTCGATGAGGAGAGCTGCGACTGCTTACTTTACAGACTTAAAGGTGTTTAGACATTATGAACTGTGTGGGGGGACTGTTTTAGGGACATTATGGAAACACAAACAGCCAAAAAAAAAAAGATACAGCAGACGA